GTGAAATGAGTCAGCGGAAAGCAGATCTCTTCCACTCCTTGTCTTTACTGTTATTTTATATGTTGATTTTTGCCTTTACTAAGTTGATTATGGTTTATTTGCCAGAATGACTTTTAGATTATGACTGTGTTTCTGCCCTTTACATGGTTCAGCATGCAGTCATTTCTAAGAGAAGTGTGCATTTGTGCCCATTCTTAAATGTCCTCCTTGCCTCTCCCTCCCTCTCTCTTAGAGCAGACATGTTTTCGTGACCACTTGACGTTCCGCTTCTGTCAGACGCTAAGCTGGCTGGGTCGCTGCCACCTGCCAACTGTCCGCACACAGTGCTGCAAGACCTGCGGCCAGCTGTCGCGCGGCAACAAGCGCACAACCCGCCGGTGACTCGCGCCTGCTGGAGGGACCACGCCGGCCTTTGCGGACCCAAACCGCACACGTGCACTCATGCACACATACACGTGCCCTCTTTCTCTCTTGCTCTCTCTCTCTCGCTCTCTCTCACTACACAGCAGCTGTAGTTTACCCACAATTCCCTTGGTCACGTGCTGCTGCGGAGAGTCCTGGCCCGACCCGTTGTGACTTCAGCAGCCGGTGTCTCTTTCAGTGGTGGAGTACGGTGTGCAGATCTCCTGCTCAGTGTCATTGTGTATTTTTATTCTTATTCAGAAGCATGCAGCGCAGAACTTTCACCATATCGATTGCTAGTACACTGCTAATTCAGCATCACCACAAAACCGCAGCAGTATGCTAAATGAGTTGTATGCAATTAAAATGCAAGCAGATAGGGTAATTCCAACTGCTATTCTTAAAAAAAAATGTTTTAAATAGCTGTCGATTATAATCTCTGGAACGATTCATGTAAATTACCAACTAATGAAAATATCCATAAATATGTAGCAGTGCACAAACAGAGAGTATTCGCTTGTTTGTGCAGTTTGTTTCTGTTTGCAGCCAATTATATGAATTTTTGGATGTAACTGGACTTTGGAACCTACAGTGGGTGGGATTTCCATGCCGTGTCAGTTATTGCCAGCATTTAATCCGGTGGGAACCAATTAAGCAAGCAGCCTGGGGCGACCTTTACGGGTCATCACTGCCAGCACATGATAACTGTGCCCACAGGTCTCAAAGCCATCTTTACCCTCACTGTGAGGAAAAAAATCCAAAAATAAAATTAAAATAACGTCCGATGGTGCTGCAGATTGGTGCTAAGGAGCCCGAAACTCCTCGCCGCTCAGGTGTTGAGGGCCGGTGCCTTTCATACTTGAACTGCTGTTTTTATTTTTTATTTTTGTTTGGTGTGTTTATTGTTTTGTTTTTCTTTCTGTTTTTGTTTTCCCATACCGCTCGCCCAGGTGTCCCAGCAGGTGGCGCTGTCTTCAGCAACACATAGGTATTCTGTGACTTCTCCCCATGTCTGCTATGGCAGCAGTGAAAGGTTTTACAAAACTGCGGGTTCTGCTGTTGCTAACTGCACTCAAAGGCTGATATGTAAAATGGCCTTGTCATATTGTATCTCATTTTAGTATCGTCTGATTTCCACTACCAGTATAAAATTCATCAGTACCTCTACTTTAATGTATATAGGTCAGACATATCTATGCAGTAATTGTTGCTTAGAAGGATTTTAGATTGTTACTATCAGGGTGTGACTTTTCAGAGCAGGTCACATATTAGTTGAAGAAATTACTATTTTTCAAGTAGCTTTGAAAGTATCTGGTTCAAATACCAGTATAAATCCACCTGAAGTATTCTGGGCCAAAGTACTTAACCTGAATTTCTCTAGTAAAACCTCAATGATAATATTATTATTATTATTATTATTATTATTATTATTATTATTATTAAATGCATCTCCTTTTTATGAAAGTATCCATATATTTTGAAGATCACACTTTGATCACACTTTGGAAATACATTTGCTCGATTAACAATTACCAAAGAGTAATTATGCTCAATCTAGGCCCTGATTTTCAGTGTTAAACCATTTAACATTTCTTATGAATAGTTTATTCAGTCGGTGATTTTTAAAGTCACTGGTATTAATTTGCATATGCAGTTAGTGATCAGCTCTGTTTTTATAAAAGTACTTTTAACGAGTCGACAGGGAAGACAGAGTGTTAACGAATATGAGCAGCAGACATCAGCGGCCTTAATACGACCAAAAGGTGGATTCTGCTGAGTAAAGACGGTTGCGTTTCCTCAGCACTAAATACCGGTTAACTGTGGGCAGACTCATCTGTCAGCCAGAAGACAGAAGATCAGCTTGACCAAAGCTGAGCAGCCTGGGTAACTGCTCCAGTTGCTCTCTGTTCTGTCCTGATGGTGCTGTGTTCACAAAAACTACTTAGGTACTTTTCAGTCTAAGGGAAATGCTCTTCTGCACCGTGGATCTGCATGAATGGTCCCTACACAGTCTGTGAAATAATTGTCATATTAGTTTGTCTCTTTGGGCATTGCCCTTCATCTTCGATTTGCATATTCAGTTTCATTTCGTGGTGTCATTTTTATTATTTCCAAGTTCTGATCGCGTAGCTCACAGTATATGTATAAATTTAACCATAAACTGCCTAATAATATGACTCAGTATTTCTGTAGGAATATTGTCATCTTTTTCCATTTGATTTTGTAACTTAATTTGTCTCCTATATTTATATCATTATAAATAAAAATGCTTAAAAAGTACATAATTTGTGGTTGTATTCTAATCAAATTAGTGAAAAAATTAGTGAAAAAAGTTCTTTCTCGCCACCCTCCAGTGCAAGTGAGTCGCATGTAGAGCTTTCAGTATCGTTGCCCTGTGTAGATGGTCTCCTTGGCTTTCCTCAGGAGTCCTCTCCTCTTAATTTTGGCGATTAGTCCTCAGAAAAAGGCTCTCCAAGAGCTGGCTTCTGCTTTCTGATTGTGTGTATGACGCTCCCTGTGACACATAGACACTCCTGTGACACTCCTGTGGAATGCTCTTCAGTCTTCATTTTAACAGTCCTCCTGATTCCTTGCCAGTCTCAGTCATCACATTCTCTGGATATAAAATTCACATCTGAAGTGCAGTTAGACACCAAAAATAAGGAAATTTTGCCCTCCATCTTTTCTCAGTTGTAAATTTTGAGCTACCAAGGAACAGGAGTCGAATACTTATGCAATCAACATGAAATTATGCTTATATAATTTTAAGAATCTAGTTACTTTTCCCATGTGTTGTATTCATAACAAATATCACATTCAGATTTTATGGAATAATGGTCAGAAATGGCAAAACATAAACAGTGTGACGATACAGACAGTTTTGCAATCAGATATGTGCTTTGGTGTGTAATTTGTATTTAAAAACATGAGAAGCAAACAGCCTGTTTCTGTGATGCCAGTTTCATACATTCTTAGGGGACCAGCCACTGGCCATAACAGTCCTAGCGTTGGCAATGTTAATTCACCAGAAAAATGCCTAGATGAATGAACTGTTTGTTATTTTTCTTTCCCAAACTCAGACCAAGCAGCAGCTGCCTGCCAATTTTGCATGAAATAAATGCTGCTTTCAGTGCTATTTCTCTGTGCTTGACAGTGCTTAGTGACAGTGTGAAGGCTCGTCCGTAGGCATGTGGAATGACGGAGCTGCTCATCAGATTCATATTTAATTTGTGACCTTTGTGGAAAAACCAGGAGCACTCTGGATTCTGCTTCATCAGCTGGCATCAGGTCCAGTCCAGCTTCATTCAAGCTGCTCTTCACACATAATGAAAAGCGTGCTGCCTGCTTGCAGTGGTCGGTTGGTAGTGCTGGTGCAGCGCTGATTTTTCTACATCCCCAAATGCACAATTTGCTCCACTTCCAGTCAGGGCTGGGCTTGGGCTAAACATCAAACCTGGACTTTGGGTCCCCTGTGATGAATTTGGCCGGATCATGAACAAATTGGCCATTGGGAAAATACCAGTCCAGTCCAGGCCCACTTCCAGCTCTGGATGATCTCACGCTCTAGGCCTGCCATCTACTGTAGCTAATAAAGGAGGTTTCAGTGTTGGACCGCTTGGTGTGGCACATTTACCAAGGCCACTCAGGCACAGAATCAGAATGAAGGTTTATTCCCCAAGCACAAGAATTTTCCATGGCTATGGAGACAAAAATACAGTAAGTGCAATAGATTTTCAGCTGACTAGAGGGTAAAAACTGTAAGACAGCAGTGAGTAAGAATGATGTGATGCAGTGTCAAGGTGCCAGTGAGAAAAACCAAAATATGCAAAAGGAGAAGTGAGTGCAGTTATGAAGTAAGCTGAGGAGATCACTGATTGGGGCCTTATATGGCCTTTGGGAAGAAGCTGCTTTTCTATCTAGAGGTTCTGGTTTGTATGGCTTGGAAGGCTAAAGAAAACGGGATGAGACCAGCAGCATCCAGACAGTGTCCACAGCATCCAGACAGTGTCCACAGCATCTGAACAGGTTCCACAGCATCCAGACAGTGTCCACAGCATCAAGACAGTGTCCACAGCATCCAGACAGTGTCCACAGCATCCAAACAGTGTCCACAGCATCCAGACAGTGTCCATAGCATCCAGACAGTGTCCACAGCATCCAAACAGTATCCACAGCATCCAGACAGTGTCCACAGCATCTAGACAGTGTCCACAGCATCCAAACAGGTTCCACAGCATCCAGACAGTGTCCACAGCATCCAGACAGTGTCCACAGCATCCAGACAGTGTCCACAGCA